TTTACGAATAAATCAGAAAATTATTGTTATTATTAATATTATTAATAATATTATAAACTCATGTTTGTGAAAATTGCAACACCATGAAGGAATCGTCATAATTGAATGAAATTTATTCACAGTTGAGTGGTAGTGGTACAAATAAATGATTAAATGTTCAAAGCAAACAAACAATCACGAGCGAGACGCCGACCAACGAAATCCCACCCATGTTCAATCGGCGACATATCCGGAGAATACGCAGGCCAAGGAAGAAGCTGTACCTGCCGCGTTGCAAAGAAGGACTGAACAGTCCTAGAGATATGAGGGCGGGCATTGTTCTGTTGAAATACAGCGCCTGGCAAGCTTTGAAGGAAGGGAACAGCTTGGGGCTGTAGAACTTCATTGATATACCGGTTGCTGTTCAGATTGCTCACAATTCTTAGCAATTCAGATCGTCCATGATATGCTATGGCACCCCAGACCATAACTCCGGGTGTTCGTCCACTGTGGCGTTCGATAATGCACTCTGGAAGATGGCGTTCACCGGCATAGCGTCTGACACGAATGCGGCCATCATGGTACCACAAATTAAAGCGGGATTCGTCAGAAAACCCGACATGCTGCCAATCAGCCCGCCAGTCTCTATGCTGAGTGGCCCATTGTAGCCGCAGGCGGCGATGGTTTAGCGTGAGAGGGATCCTGTATAAAGGAGTCCTTGCGCGCAGTCCACGCTGCAGCAGACGTCTACGAATTGATGAAGCACACAATGAAACACCTGTGGCTGTTGACCACTGAGCTGCCAATTGTCTAGAGGAAGCTGTACGGTCCGTCAGCGTCATGCGGACCAGGTGTCTATCATCGCGAGCTGATGTCACATTTTGGGGTCCACTCCCGGATTTCTAAGTTGTCCGACACTCGTCCGTTCACTGCTTCCAAAGACGCATCACTGTGCTGCTGTTACGCTGCTCACGAGCGGCTACTGCACGATAAGACAATCCAGCTTCACGAAGGCCGATGATTCCCCCCTTTCAAACTCTTTAATTTGTTCAAATCTCGCTCTCTTTCGTCGAAGAGGCATAAGTAACGATTAAGCTAACGTTTACCACTAGCAGATAACCACCGATAACCATACACGCCTCGCTACAGCCGTCTATTTATTCGGATCCATCCGCCATTCAGAGGGCACGCATTCAGTATACGCATGCGCTACGGATTTGAATTTCTAATCATTTGCATATCATGCACTAATTTGCATTTCCTGAAAATTTCAGCTCACTCTCGTAAGTCCTTCATGGTGTTGCAATTTTCACAAACATGAGTTTAATATTATCAATATTATAATATTATTAATATTATTAATAATTATTATTAATATTATTAATGACACAAAACAAAACTTTTTTACAATGCATATTCAAAAATCCATGAAATAAGAATTTCAAAAATATGCACTAGTCGTGGCTTTCTAATAACAAGCACAATTATCATGCAAGAAGGTTCTCTTTCGTATCTGCTGCTGTCATGCATTGCAGTCACTTCTCTCAAAAGTTAACAGAATTGGTGATTTTTATAGTGCTTGAAAGTTTCGTATATCGACACTCAGGCTGCCGTGAGAGAATTTATGTGTTTCCTTTTATAGCTGTTGTTCTAATGCAGCTGTCAATACTGATAGTTAATCTTTATGCCATAAGCAAAAGCCGCACTGCTATTACTCACTTAACACTACCGAGAGGGCACGTGTACCTTGAAGAGATGCTACGGATGCGAGTAACACTACTCCCACAACTCTCTACGATCCTATTAGGACCGGGACCTACGGTTTAAAGTGGATTCCGAACCACTACAAACATCAATGGCACAGCCGGGATTCGAACCCGATACCTTTGGTACCGAGTGCCAGAGCGCTAGCCACTCGACCATCAGGCCCCTGTTTTCTCTTATAAGACACGCAAATTAGGGGTAAAAACGCTTAGAAGTCCTCACAGAAGACATTGCTTTTATATACTGTTGGTGTGTTTATTATTGATTTATGTAAATGAAGTATAAATCAATAATAAATGCGCCTACATTATATATATATGTGTGTGTGCGTGTGTGTGTGCAATTTTTACATGCGTACGTGTGTGTGTGTGTGTATGTGTATGTGTGTGTGTATGTGTATGTGTGTGTGTATGTGTATGTGTGTGTGTATGTGTATGTGTGTGTGTGTTTGTGTGTAATGATTTATCGCATTAGCATTTAAATCACGACAGATGCAAATAGAAAATTTTATTACATTAATAAAGATAAATATTAAAAATAAAAATTTCACTATTATTATTAATTTCAAAGTTAATAATTTATTATTCCCAAAAATAATATAATTATATTTTGAAAAAAGGATATTTAATGGCTGCATGTAGGCTGTATAACTATTTTTACAATAATTGCATTATAAAAATTAAATCTTTTGATTTTCGCAGAAAGACAATTGGAAAGATATACCAGGAAAAAAAAAAGAATTGATATGAAATTGGCTTTTATTCCATTTTCTGCGAAGAAAAAAAAATCTTTTTAATAACTACCTTTTTGCAATAAAAAGGTTTCCAATTCTCCTCATAAAATGAAAACTTAACAAAAATAATTGCAAAAGAGAAAAACATAAAATCCAATTCGGATAAATTTAGAAATATTTAAAAAATTTTATAACTCGTCATTTCTATTTTATAAATTAAGAAAATAAATTGTTTCTGTAAAACATTTTTTTTTTTCAAAAGGAATAATTCTTCAAATAATTTCAACTTCTCCGAATGATTTCAGTCTGATTTTCGAAAATTGTATATTAAAAATGATTCATTAGCATTTAAATAAAAAAGTGACTTATGCTATAAATCATTTTATTAATCTAAAAAGGCTTATTAAAATTTAAAAGTGTTTTTTCTATATTTGATGTATATGTTTCATAATATTTTTGAATTTATTTTTAATTCCTTTCTTTATATTTTAAAACAAATTTGACTATTTTTTAAAAAAATATTTTTATTTTATTTTTCAATAGCAATTCATAAACATGCTTTGTAGTGATGATTGCTATTTTAATCCATAATTGAAGTGTATAATAAATATGCTTTCTTTATTAAAATTTAAAATACGTTATATACTTTCTAATATAAAATTAATATGAGTTAAAATTCTATTCTAATGAAGTAGTAGAATAAAATAAAATTACAACTGAATGTATGACTTTTAAAAAATCTACAAATACATCAAATAATCCAATAAAATCTATCAAATAAAAAACTTCATTTTATCTTTTTTGCAATTATTTTCTGATTTACAGTTGTTGTCTGTATTATTAGGTTCGTTGGTAAATAAATGGCGATTAAGCATTTGTAATTTTTTTAACATTGCCGTTTGATTTATTTGAACGGCAAAAATAATTTTAGCAATAAATATAAAAAAAAAAATGTTTAAAAATATTGTTTTATTCTGCCAGCAATACTGAAACTTTTTTTAGGTGGCAACACTGGAAGGAGAAATGGTTTTTTTAAAATTAATTCATTTTTACAAGCAACACTAAATTTATTTAGATCAGTTTGATAACATTAATTTTCATTTAATTTGTTGTGATTCTGGATTGACACGAGAGAACTCGATTTGTCCGGTTGCTCTACTACTGTGCCCAAATAGTAAGACCAATTATTTTTTTTTCAAAAACTCCTTATTTATTTTTCCAAATTTATTTCATCGCCTTCCTTTCATCGCACAAAATGCACCAACTTTTTTTACAAACCTCAATGTATGCTAAAAAGTCATCGGCAGGGATGGCCTTCAAAGAGCTCGGCTATTCACGTTGAATCCGTTCAATAGACTTAAAACGGTGTCCTCGGAGTGGTCTTTTGAGTTTAGGGAATAGCCAGAAGTCGCACGGTGTGAACACGCCGGTTGTGGAACGATATGGGTTTCATCTTGGGCGAAAAAGTCACGAAGAATCAATGCAGTGTCAGCTGGTGCATTCAGTGTTTTCGGTACCAATCTAGATTTGACGCGTTTGAGGCCCAAAAGAAAATTGGCAAATCCTTTTGAAAATACAACATCGTCAGCAAGGTCTCTAATTGTAAATCGATGGTTTGCAAGCACCAAATCTTTAATTTTTTGGACGTGAGCTTCGTCGGTTGAGATTGAGGGTCGACCAGAGAACGCGTTCTCTGCCTTCTTTGAACTGTTTATACCACTTCTAAGCATTTCTTTCCGATATAAGAATTCTCACCGTATGCCTTCTGCAACATTCTATACGTTTCCGCAAACAAAATTGAATGCAAATTATTTTCTCAATTAATTCAGACATTTCAAAAATCGCCGGAATCAGTTTTAGTGTCTCACAAAGCCAAACGGAACTCAAACACTAATTAATATTTTGACGTCAAATTTCTCACAGATGTCAAGGGCAGTGCCAACAACCTAAAAAAGAAAAACAAATTAAAATTCCATATGCCCAGAAAATTTAAATTGAAAATTGGTTTTACTTTTTGGGCACAGTAGTAGGCTCTTTTCTTGATTTTTAATAAGGTTTCCTTTAATATTAATTCATCAAGATTTTTTAAAAATTTAAATGTTGTACATTGAAATGCAAGAAGAATTCGAGCCAAAATTCCCTTTGTTTTATCAAAGTTTTCAATTCATGTGTTTGTAATGCTGGAAACCTTCTTTAATCATGACGATCAATTTCACTTACCAAGTAAATTATTTACAAAAGACAGAACTTGCAACTTGCGGAGAGTAAGTTTTTTGATTTTTGTAAACTCATTTATCCATGGCAGTACTTTTAATTTTCTTAATCTTCCACATTCATAAAATGAAATACAGACTATCACAATTCATAGTATATTTTGCGTCGTCCACAGTTACTCAGCTAAAGGCGCTAATTCAACATAGAGCGACTTGATGCAGTACATTTCTTAAATCCTCCCTCTTGCATTATTCTTTAAGACTTCAATACCAAGCATCCCAACCTAGGTTCTTCCACTTCTAATGGAGCCAACGGCCATACCATGCTGAATATACCGGTTCTTGTTAGATCACCGAAGTCAAGCATCTTCGGGCGGCGCGGTCAGTACTTGGGTGGGTGACCACCTGGGAACACCGCGTGCGTTGGCATTCAGAAATTTGGGACCTGAATGGCAGAGTGCTTAGCGTTCCGGCGCTCGGAGCCACAGGTTTCGGGTTCGAATCCCGGCGGTGCCATGGATGTTTGTAGTGGTTCGGAATCCACTTTAAGCCGTAGGTCCCGGTCTCCTATGACTGTAAGAGCGTCACGGAGCCAAAGTCAGACTTCTACATAATGGTGCTCCATCACAACAGAAGCTGCTTCCTTCCCCTTCAATCATGAGTACGTATGGGCTCGTGGACTTGGCCATCCAAGTGGGATAAGAAACAACAACAACAACTTCTAATGGTAATTCTGAAATTGATAAATTGGATCTTACACAACAATTTAAGCATTATTATCAAAGTAAGCATGCCAACTCATATTATTCAATGTTCTTCCTCCCTTATTAATCTAATCATTGCTAATGCAAGTATCTATACAATCATTTCTATCTTCATACACTGGAATCCTTTTATCAATCCAATTGCCCTTCCAAATAAACAATAAATAGAAGTATTGTATACAGGCTATCATATGGCCGAAAGTTCTAAATTTTCTACAAGAATATCACCTCTCAAACTTTTGGATCTTATTCTGCTTTATAAGATTACCTGTCTAATTTTTTGAATAAAAACAAAAAATATACCCATTTATTTATTTTTTTAATCTTTAATGCTACTTTGATGGAAACTCTTACATCAAGCTCGAACTCAGCTTTCTCCAAGATCTCTGGGTCGCATATAAGTAAATTTCAACAACACTCCGTAGCTTAATTTCACTACTAAAAAGAAAGTTTTAGAAGTCCGCTTGAAATTCTGCAAACTTCTTCTTCAATGGCACAATATCCCCATGGTAGGGCAAGGCCTTCTTCCTACTTGCAGATTCTGAAAATGAGGTGTTTTTCTTTTTACGGGATAAAGTTTTCAACCCTACGCCCAACGCTCTACAGTCATATTAGACTGGGGCCTGAATGGCCGAGTGTCTAGCACTCCGTGCCACAAGTCTCGTTTTAGAGTTCCTGGCGGTGCTATGGATGTTTGTAGCGGTTCGGAATCCACTTTAAGCCGTAGGTCCCGGTCTCATACGACTGTAGAGCGTCACAGAGCCCAATCAGACTTCTCACCCACATCATTCCCAAACTGTATAGGGACAACTCAGCTCTAGGCACAGGGATATGGTGTGGTGTAGAAGTAGTAGCAGCTATATTAGACTGGTGCCGAACATTTAAAATGGATTCCGAAAAACTACAAACATCCATTGTACCATGGGGGCTGGAACCCGATACTTGTGGCACTGAACGCCAGAAATTCTGCTAGCTACTATGGTAAAATTAATAAAATTATCAAAGCTATTCATGACTTTCTTTATCAAGTGTTTTTATTTCTAATGCAGCTGGCAAACACTTAGACAGTTGTCTTAGATGCCTTAAGGCAAGCGGTGCACCGACATTACTCACTTAGCACTAACCAGGGGGTGCATGTAGCTTGAAGATAAGCTACGGACGCGGAGTAACAATTCCCCCGAAACGCTCTACGATCTTATTAGACCGGGACCTACGGCTTAAAGGGGATTCCAAATCATTACAAACATCCATGGTACCGCCGGGACTCGAATCCGAAAGCTGTGATACCGAGCGCCAGAGCGCTAGCCACTCTGCCATTCCGGCCCTCAGTAGCGATTATTGAGGCAACAAGATTTTTTTTTTGCACTTATTCGTATGAATACAGATCCAAATCTTTTTTTTCTTTCTAATGCAGCTGGCAAACACAGACATGGACGTCTTGGATGCCTTAAGGCAAGTGCTGCACAGACGTACTCACTTTGCATTACCCAGGGGGGGCGTGTAACTTGAAGATAAGTTACGGACGCGGAGTAACAATGCCCCCACAACGCTCTACTATCTTATTAGACCGGGACCTACGGCTTAAAGTGGATACCGAATGACTACAAACAACCATGGCACCGCCGGGACTCGAACCCGAAACCCGTGGTACCGAGCGCCAAAGCTCTAGTCACTCGGCCATTCAGGCCTTAGATCCAAATCTACATTATAACAAATGCCTCGGATCCACACTTCAATAAATCCGCCATCATGTAATTTATTCCATGTAATCTTTCTGAATATTCCCCTCACAACTATAATAATCCATTTACCCTAAGTAAACTAAAAGAAGAAATACACGCTACTCCCAATATTGCTCCAGGACGTGATGGTGTTCCAACCGACTTAATTAAAATTCTTCCTGGCCACTACTATCTTCTACAGCCACTACGGATTTTTAATAAAATTTGGATCACAGGCAATATCCCGAAAGAGTGATTCACTGAGAAAATCATTCCAATTCTTAAACCAAGGAAAGATAGCACTTCTCTTTTGTAATTTCTGTTTATATAAACTTACAAACTATATATATATATATATATAACTATCATATAGCTTTTATATTTACTTAAATATACGTAAAATATTTTAAAGGAATCGTTCATTTTTCAATTTCACCCTAATTCAGTCATCAGCATTCTTTTTAAGGTCGCTATATACATTTTCCAATCCTTATCATAAAATCGTTGAATCTAAAAACTTATATTATATATATATATACACTCAAGAGCCAAAACATTATAACCACCTGTCAATAACGAGTTGACCCACCTTTGGCGCGCAACACAGCTTCAACCCGCCTTGGTGTGGATCAATACCACCACTTAATATCAGTTAAATACCACTTCCACCTGATCACGGGCCTTCCACGTCATCCAGGCGAGTTCAGTGCAAAATGTAGGGGTGGTCATAATGTTTTGGCTCTTGAGTGTATATATATATATACATAAAATTTTGTTTTTAAAATCAATGTATTGAAAATAGATTTTGTAGAAATTATAAGCGAAATATAATTGTAGCTTACGTGTTTAACATTTTTTTTTATTTCTAATGCAGCCGGCAAACACTTAGACAGTTGTCTTTGATTTCTTAAGGCAAGCGCTGCGCCGACGTTACTCACTTAGCACTACCCAGGAGATGCGTGTAGCTTGAAGATAAGCTACGGACGCGGAGTAACAATATCTCCGCAACGCTATCCTGTTAGACCGGGACTTACGGTTTAAAGTGTGGTACTACCCGAAACCGAGCACCAGAGCGCTAGACACTCGGCCACTCAGGCCCTTAACTATTTAACGTTAATATTTAAATTTAAACACATAGCATTAGCGTTTAAACATTAGTTAACATAAATATTTAAAACATATAATCCAACCATTAATAATACATATTCTAGAGTTATTGTGTACTATAATCATGCTTCCTCCTACCTACTAGCAAGGGCGCCTCCCTGTGGCGTTCAAGAGAAATAGTCAGCTGGCCTACAAACTCTCACCTGGAGAGGAAATATATTTCACACACTCTGCGAGTATTCGAGTTTTGGTTAACGGCTTAGAAGTGGAATCCTTCCACGAACCTATAATTATCAGTCTTTAAAATGAGTTAAATATTGTAGGTCTCTAATTGTTTGTGCGTGAGTAATTAAAGCTGCGAGTTCTCAAACCTGTGCCTGAAGTATCTCAATCCAACCACACCCAGTTACAATCTGGTTGTCCAACTTGCACACTGCAGTACTAAATTTATGTAAAAGAACTAGAGGAGGTAAAAACAAAAGATTTGCAGTAATTTAGAATGCAATTTAATAAATTTAGATGCGAGATCGTAGTACTTTCCAAGCGATACTTGATTGCATACATCGTATTGAAAATCTTTTAAGCAATTATGGAATTACTAGAAGCTGAGATACACTGCTTCAACTAGTACAAGGCGTCTGATATACACAGTCCTTCACATAATGCCACATAAATAAGCCCAATGGAGCCCCCGCTTAGAATTCTTCAAGAATTCCACAAGCCAATGAGTGGCAAGTATTTGATGATTTTGTTGTTGTTGTTCCTTTAACAACAAAAGTCAGTGAGACTCATGTTCCTTAATTTATGCCCCGAACAACCATATATATATATATATATATATTGGTCTGTACTTGAATGCAGAATAATATGGAGAGATAAATGATAAAAAATGTAAAAAGGATTTCAAACATTTAATGAAAAAGGAAATATGCTCAATAGGAAATAATTGAATATATAAATGAAATATATTTAATTAAATGAAATATAAATCAAATGTATTAAATTAATGAAATATAAACTAAAGGAATATATAAATCAAATATATTCAAATAAAATAAAATGAAATACATTAATGAAATAAAATGAAATATATTCAATTAAATGAAATATATTCAAATAAAATAAAAGGAAATACATTAATGAAATAAAAGGAAATATATTCAATTAAATGAAATATATTCAAATAAAATAAAAGGAAATACATTAATGAAATAAAATGAAATATATTCAAATAAGTAATAAGCATTAAATACTTTTTGAATCATTAAAAATACAGTAAAGTTCATGAAATAGCAAATAAAATCTTAAAGTTAAGGACCATTACTAAAACCTGTAAAAAATTTGTAAAAGATTTCTGGACTAAAATATTTATAAAATTATTTTTTAAAGAAATGCATAAAGATTGCAGAACAAGATATTTCTAAAATTTTAGAATATATTTCAAATGCATGCATGAAAAATAAATTAGTTACTAAAAATCTCAGTACTTTATATTTACAATCATAGTTATTTGTTATCTGCAGTTATTGAATAGCTTTCTCAGTAGAACATTATTTCGAAAACCACATGTTATAAATTTCACACGTTAGTGATGAAAAATCGAAATGGGTTTTTAGGCTCAGGAAATAATTTTGTAAAATACGGTGCAAGTACGTGCACGAAATCTCTGTGCAAATAAACATTGCATTTCTGTTATAAATGTCATTTTAACTGCGGCAAATCTTTTGTCAACCTGAAAATAATTTCTATTCCGTACAATATCAACAAGAAGACATTTTACTAATCTATTTAAAACATCAGAAATAACAATCATTTCAAAATTTTCACTT